AACTTTTAGTGTGCTTCCATACTGCAGTGGGTTGCTGGAGAACACACAAGGAATGTCTTCCTGTGTATTGCCACAGAACTGATTTGCTTGGGAAACTTAAATTAGTATAATTTTAAAATATTGTTTGCTAAATGTGGTAATCATTTTGGTAAATGTAGCTGAATGATGTACAGAAAAGCACAAGTTTTTATGTTGACGTGTTTCCTATTGATAAAGGTAATAAGAGGAAGGAAGGTAAGGTGTGCTTAGAGTTCTGAAACACAGACTCATAGGGCCTGGCACTCGGGAGCTCCTGACTGTGCGTCTGCTCTGCCAGGTACTGTTGTGTTCGCTGTCACTAAATGCCCGACACCAAAAAGCTTGGGTGTGAAGGGATTGTCTCTGGCTTGGAGGCCACGCTGGTAGGGAAGGCCAAGCAGTGGAGCGTGTCTGCGGTCATGCAGAGGACACTGGTGCTCAGCTCCCGTTGTCCCTTTTCTCTTTCCTTCAGCCCAGGACCATGATGCCCTCTCTGGAAACCTGCAGGGATCACAATGACAGGCAGGATTGCTCCTCGACCCTTCTGCACAAGCATGTGCTAGTGTGAAGTTAAAACGTAAACTAGGACCAAACAAATGATGGCCTTGGTCTTGACTGGCTAGGTTACTCTGTGGTAACAGACCACTCCTCCCCTATTCCACCCAAGGAAAGTCTCCTTGGCCAACCACTGTTCAGTTCGTGCTTTTAGTCACACATGACATAAGTTGAACCCACTCCTTACACAAAACCCTCTTCCAGTCTACAGAGCGAGGGAGAAAGTGGCTCCCATGCTTTGGTGAAGCATCTGTCATTGTTGCCTTCAGCCTACTGGCCAAAGCTGGTGATATGGCTGTGCCTACTTGCAAGGGTGGGTGTAAACCATGCTCTCTCTGTGCTGGGGACCTAGACATGGGGCACCCGGAGGGTATGACCTCCTTGTCTCTGATAACTGATTCTTAGTAGGTTCTCTACATAATTGTCAAAGACTGATTAAAGTGATTAAATGACAGTGCCATCAGAGGCAAACAAGAAACTCTTTAAGATTTCTAGCAACCTGGGAATCAGTCCCTAATTCTCTTGGGTATTGTCTTGGTTTTTTTTTTTTTTTTTCTTTTGCTGTGACCATGGCAACTTTTAAAGAAAGCATTTACTGTGTCGTATGGTTTCAGAAGGTCAGAGTCAACAGTGACATAGCAAAGGCACCATGGCATGAACAGCTGAGAGCTCTCATCGTGATCAGCAGGTAGGAAGCAGCAAGTGAACGCTGGGAATGGCCAAGTCTGTTGAAACCTCAGAGCGAGCCCACCCCAGTGACACAGCTCTTCCAACGAGGACACACCTCCTAATCCTTCATAAACAGTTCAAATGTAGGAGTCTAGGGGAGCCATTCTCATTCCAAGCAACGCAGGCACCTAATCCTGATCAGTTCCCCCCACACTTGGAAGCTTTGAAGCTGTGGTTTGTTGCTCCACCTTCAGAAAGTGGCAAGGAGAGGTGCTATGGGTCAGAATGTTTGTCTTTCATTCTCAGTGTGGAGGGAAAGGGACATAGACTGCAAAAATCTCTCTTCAAAGTCCAGACTTTTTGGTCAGAAGTACCTTGAAAGTTTAGATTCATTTTCTTACTATCAGAAGCCCCTGGGGCACTTAACACAGCCATCAGCCTCATCTTTATCATCTGAGACCATTAAACATCTTCACTTCACAGTGCCAGGAGATTGCTCTGACCATGAGCTGACACGAAGTATTTCCCTTTTCTGACCATTTCCTTCCAAAAGGCGTGGGAACTATGTTGTTTTGGGGGGTTTTTGTTTGTTTGTTTGTTTGTTTTTTCATCGTGCTAAAAACCTGGATCTCAAGGGTCAAGTCATGGATAAGATCATCCCTGACAAAGCAGAGAGCTGTACAGGCTTATGTCACATTATTAACTCCCGGGGGACGGGGGACGTCCTTCTGTGTATGTGTTTGTTTTAGTGGTTGCTGAATAAAACACTGTTTGGTCAATAGCCAGTAGGGGCAGGAAGACAGGCGGGGCTAGGAGACAAGGAGAATTCTAGGAAATGCAGGCAGAGAGCCGCTGAAAAGAAGACACCATGTAGTCGCCAACAGGTCCAGACATTCTCCAGTAAGCCAAGACCATGTGGAAATACAAATATTTAGAGAAAGGGGTTAATAATTAAGACAGAGTTAGCCAGTAAGAAGCCCTAACCATCAGCCAACAGTTTCATAATTAACATTAAGTCTTTGTGTGTTTATTTGGGGCTTAGAGGAGTCTGCAGGACCAGGCTGGAAAAACTCCAACAACACTGGGCTGTCAGCCTGGGAGAAAAGCATCACACAAAGAGTGGTTTCCAATAGGAGAAAGGCTTTCTCATACAAAGGATGCCTTGAGTTTTCTTTGAATTAAATTTACTTATTTAGTGTATGTATGTACACATGGGAGCTGGGGCCAATGAGAGAAGGCAGCTTGCAGTAATAGAGGGTCTCCTTCCATCACGTGGGTCCCAGGGGTCAAACTCAGTTCCTTCCTTGGGCTTCACAGCGAGCACCTCTACCTGCTGGGCCACCTGGCCCCCTGAGAAGTGGCTTTCGTAAGTGGGAGTAATTCTCTAAGAATTCATTTAGTTTTAGATTTGTAAGATGAGACATTTTAATTTTTATGAATATCAAATCACTTCTTATGTTGGAACAACAATTCTTATGTTGCTCCAATTCTTATGTTGGAGCAAATTGAAGACACAAAGTCCTTTGAAATATTTTTGGGAAACAATCAGGGCGACTTAGCTGTGTAGAATGCAAACACAGCAAACTGACTTTTTCTCGCTTTCCAGGTGAGAGTCCAGTGATGAGTCAGATCAGGAGATCAGATACACAAATGAGAAACTTAGCGATCAAGCAGAAATATGTGTAACGGCTTTTAGAGCATGGAACTGAGGAGGGGAATAGAAAAATAATGACCTCGTAGAATAAGGCTTCCCTTAAACTGTGTTAAAGATGTCCAGGTTTTGAAAAGAGCATAGAGGGGTTGGGGGTGTGGTAGGCACACAGAACCCAGGAGCCAAGGTGAGTACAGGTGAGGGCCAAGACTACAGCAGTAGCCAGGCGGCAGCAGCCCTGGTCACAGCTGGTCGGTCACAATGGGGAGGAAGAGGAGGCTCGCAATGACACCCAGGTGCCCTGATAAAGAAAGAGGCTCGGTATCCTTGGCATTGCTTCCAAGTGTGAGTCCATAGCCCCTTCCCGCGGTCTGTGTGCCTTTGAGTGCAGCATTAGCTGCAGTCTCCCCTTGCCAGGCAAACACCTAGCTCTGCTTCTTCGTCCAGGGATGCTCAGTCTTTGTTCTTTTACTTGCTGGCTTGGACCTATGCAACACTGCAGATCGCAAGACTCAACAGTCCAGCACAAGGAGGTTCTCGCCTCTGCCCTCAGGTAGTCTTAGCTGTGAACATAATGTTCTTGGAGTTGTTTTTCACACAGCTCTGGTCTGCTTTCAAATATTTATCCATTCAGGCATCATAGGTATTTAATCCAAAAGGCCCCTGTTCTGCTGGCCTGGCACCTGGCTGCTGAGCTAGGAGAGGCTCTTATTTTTATTAGCTTTTAGTCCACTTTCTCATGGTTGGACAACTGATCTTGGTACTAAGCAAATTAACTTACCTGAAGTTTCTGGTCATGTGAGGGACATTGGGGGTCTTCCTGCTAGCTATGAAGATAGTTTTTGTGTTCCGTGGGGGAGTCCCCGTAATGGTAAGTCAACACGCAGGTGCCTCAAAAGGTTTGCACATCGCATTTGGAGCCCTGAGCTGTAAGTTTTTCCCACAGTGATTCATATGCACATATAAAGCCGTTCCCAAGGCTGGCCTCCAGCCCGCATGGGGTTAGTGCCAATTCCAGAAAGCAGAGAATGAAGACACTCGTGCTCCATCATCCATCATTTCTTCCTATGAACCTTACAGGCTGGATATTGAAAAATCTGGATTTGATTTTTTTTTTTTTTCAAGGCAACTGACTAAGCGGTGCACATGGTTAGAGAGCATTTGCAGTGTTGAACCAGAGCTTGAAAACCTGAAGTCAGCCATTTCAGCACTGCTCCTATTTCTTCTTAATCTGATTTGGAACATTCTTTTGGCAGGTTGTGTTCCTCACCGGCTTCGGATACGTGTACGTGGACATTGCCCATCAGTGTGGCACGGTCATCATCACCGTAGCCCCAGAGGGAAAGGCAGGGCCCATTTTAACCGGCATCCACAGGTGGGTCTGTCGTCCTAGCAGTAATGCAGCGTCTGTCTTCCGTAATGTTGTGAACCTACTGGTTGCCACTCTTGTTGTCCCCACACACAAACTGATGTTTTGGGTTAATTATCATGTAATCCACAAATAAAGATCTAGTTGTTAATTATTCCTCCAGCATATGTAGATGGGACTGTAAATACAGTGCCAGAAGACTGGAGACAGACAAGCCCAGAAGGCAAGCTCCAGGTTCAATGAGAGACCCTGTCTCAAAAAAATAAGGTGTAGAGGGGATTATAGCAAGATGGCTCCGGGGTAGAAGAAGTGTGTGTCACCAAGTCTAATGACCTGAGTTCCATCCCCACAACTCACATGGTAGAAAGAGAGAACCAATTCGTGCAAATTATCCTCTAACCCACACCCACAAGCACACGAACATTCACCACAATAAAGAAATAAAAACATAAAACATGCAAATAATTAATATTCTTAACTTAAAATAGTCATATAATGTAATAGAAATAATGTAAAGATGTCCCCTTCTCCCAAAACAAAAACGGGGATGAAGCACATGAACAGAAAATTACAGGAAGAGGAAATGTAAATAAGATAGTGCCTATCAAATTAACAGTAATGTTTCATCATATACAGTTAGTTGTTGTAGACATATAATTGGTACAGTTTTCTTAAACACACTTTCCACGTATTAAAAACCCCTTTGTTCAGAACAGTGGTTCTCAACCTGGGCGTCAAATGACCCTTTCACGGGGGTCGCTTGTCAGATATTCTACGTACCAGATATTTACATTATGATTCATAGCAGTAGTAAAATTACAGTCATGAAGTAGCAGTGAGACTTACGGTTGGGGTCAGCACAGCATGAGACTGGATTAACGGGTCCCAGCATTAGGAAGCTTGAGAACCACTGGTGTAGAAATTCCACTGCAAAGAGTTTGAGTTCAGAAAATAATGAAAACAGTACGCAAGGACATACACAGAGATGTTTATTTCATTGCTGGTTATAGTGACATAATATTGAGGATACCAGTGCTTATCAAATGTATCAGAAATCGCAGGATATAAGTATTAGTGTTTGCAGTGGACCAGGAGAAGCATACGCTCTGATGTAAAGCAAGCCTATCATGATGCTGAATATATGTTCCGCCTATGTAAATACACACCAATATGTTCCGTCTGTGTAAACAGACACCAGTATTTTGTAGGCAAAACTGGAAGAGAAAGAAAAATTCAAGATTAGTAATAGATGTGGGTTTTTGAGTGCTTATTTAATAATTTCTTTGTAGACAGATTTTCCTTTGGGCTGCCAGCTCACAAAAAAACAACATGGAGACACATTAATTATGAAAGCTTGGCCTTAGCTTGGGCTTGTTTTTAACTATCTCTTATAACTTAAACGAACCCATTTCTACTAACCTACGCTCCGTCCCTCAAGTAAGGCCCATCCCGCTTTCTCCGTGTCTCCTCGCGTTTCTCTCGTGCAGCTCGATTCCTTTTCCCCTTTTCTCTCTCTGCCCAGAAGACCCGCTTACGCCTCCTGCCTCGCTAGTGGTCGCTCAGCTTTTTATTACACCAACACAGCAATATACCTTCTTCACACAGTGTGCAAATGTCCCACAGCATTTTCCCATTTTGCCTAAAATAGGAAACCTTTTAACTCTGACATAGTGAAACTATACACAATAAGAATAATTAACAAGTAAGAAATACATTGGTGAGGCCAACGTTTTCTACCTAACTTATTTTTTATCCTAATTTGTATGACCAACCCAAAACTATCTATTTAGACCTCAAAACATATTCTTAGGTAAACAATTTGAGCTTTTATGTCTCTCAACATAAAAGAGGTGGTATATATTTTTACCACCTCTTTTGTGAGTTTCTTTTCTGAGCTTGGTAACAAGGAAAACTGTACTTATAACTATCTAGTCTCCAATTCAATCAGAGTCCCTAGAAGGATATAATATTATCTTCGTAAACAGAAAGTTCAGAACAAACAACTTCCAAAAACTGTAGAATAACAGAAGCAACTGACTGCCTGGACAGTCACCCAGGCTTCCTCTGAAACACTGGGCACCCATCTTCAGCCTGCAGGCCTAGAATATCTGACAGACTTTTCTGTGAAGCAGGAATTTTTAAGGACTGTCCCACCTTGTCTTGGCAAAGTTCAGCAGTCACTTTCCTTTGTGTCCTGCTTGTCTAATTGGACAGTGGCTAACTTTGCCACAACAAAAGCAAACTCCATATCAAGGTTCTTTGATGTCCATCATCCTTTTTTGAAGTAAATTGGTGCTGCCAGGAGCAGATGTGTCTCACTGCCATGAAAATTCTTATCTTATTAAGACATCTTAAATCCTACATTCTGTAGCTCTCTGAAGTGTTGGAAGATGATCTACCTATCTAAAATATATCTCTGTTTGACCTTGAAAACATACCTAACATGGCCACAAATTTGAGTGATTAGATGACTGGACTTAGAATATTTGATTGTTAGATAACTAACTACTAATCTATCTGTCTTAATTATACATCACATTTTTTTAAATGAGCTGCATAGATACAATACCTTATACAAGAGTAGAAACATACATAGTATAACAGAATAACCTTAAATTTGTATCAATATACAAAAATATCTTAAACAAGAGTAGAAACATATATAGAGTATGCGCTAACAAAAATAACCTTAAATTTTCCTGGGAGAGGGGCTCCTAACAGCGACAGACGGTGCAGAGATGAAAGTCTGCTTTTGCTTTAGTGCTAGTGACCTTGCTACAGGGTGGCTCTGTCAGTCGTGGGAGCTAGCACAGGCTTGCTTGCAGCGAGCTCCAAAGAACAGAAAGGGACAAATGAGAGGCGCTATGTGTGAAGAGATTAGTTCTTACTAAGGAGGATTACAGAAATGGAAGAGGTAGAGGAGTCAGTTTGTAGCAGGGTGTTGTTTGCTCATGGCCGTGCACTGGCAGACAGTATTGCACTTTGTGGCACTTGGTGTATGTGTGTGGGGGGGAGGGGGCGTGGCAAGGCCCTAAAGAGGGCGTGGATCTGGTCAGGGTCTCCTCAGCTGTAGAAGTGGGGACAGGGAGGACCACACACACTTGCACACAGTGGTCACAGGTACACGCTGAGCTTTGCTCTTGCTCAGCTCATCTTCTTTAACATAAGGAGTGTTGTTTATTTTTCTTTCTGCCATGATTACCATAACAGAGAATTGGTACACAGAAATGAGGAATTTGGAGTTAAAAAAAAAAAAAAGAAAGAAAAAAGGAATGTGGTGTTGATAAGAGAAAACACACACAAAAACATGACAAGAGCGTGTAATAGTCCCAGTGGGAATGTTTCCCAATAATCTTCAAGCATAGCTGGCTCTGTCCAGACACGCACTGAAAGTTGAGTTCTTACTTGCTTTTATGAGCATCTACACTGCACCATCATGGGGTACGCAGTGAGGCACTGTCCATAAAGAAGAAGCCAGAGACACTAACGAGCTTTGCCCTTCCTCTAGAGCCCCCGAGAAAACGGTTACTTTTAAGCTGTTCCTCACCCGCTTGAGCCTGGCCGTGTCTGACGACCTCACACACCACAAGACCTCGTCGGAGCTCCTAAGGCTCACGGCGGACAACATCTTTCTCCACGTGTGTCCTGCGCCTGGTGTCCTCCCCGGGGAGGAGCCCCCCGCCGCCCTCCTCCAGCTTCTCAGTGTGGAGGTCCACGTTGGGGACCTGCAGCTGGACAACCAGCTCCACAACAAGTCCAACTTCCACTTTGCTGTGTTGGTGTGCCAGGGGGAGAGACCAGAACCCGTGCCGTTCTCCAGAGTGCAGAGTCTCCTGATGTCCGGCAAGGACCTGGAGGAATACAAGGGGAGCTGCTTCATCAAGCTCTGCCTCACGGGCTCTGAGGGGACCGAGTGC